AGACGGCCAATTTTCCTGCATCAAGGTTGTTAACATATAACAGACATGAGTTAAGGACTTTCAGGTCCATTTTTGGGAGAAGAACAGTGTTTTGTAAGGAAATCCCTTTGTCCAGACTAACTCTGCCGTCCTTATTTTGCCCAGACTGCATTTGACTGTAGGGCACTGTGAATGCATTTAGGGCAAAGCTGAAACATTTSTTTTTCTGTAGCTGGCAGTTGTTTATCGCTCTCCTGGACACAGGGCTCTCCTCTGCARTTCTGCACAGAGAGGGGCCAAGGTTCAGCAGTTAGAATAATTCTCCTTACAGGTGGTACCTGATCAATCACCTCAGGGGTGACACGTTGCTGCTGACCTCTATATTACATTTCACTGTGCTAAGCTGTTCCTTTTCTCCCCCTTCCTCACAGGCCTTTTCTTCACCCCAGGAGCCATGCTGCACTTGAGTTACAATCCATTAGAGGTACCTCCCAGACTGACAGACTTTTAAAACTCTTCACACAGCAGGAAAAAATCTCATATGAGCTGGAGCTGTGTTGCAGTGTAAATCACAGTTGAGACAGGACATGAACTTGGCTATGCCGAAGTTTCTGTATCACTTACTTCCCTCCCAGAAGTTATGGGGTCATCAAAGTTTTATTATGCAGAATTGGTAAAATAATACACTTGTGTGGAAAGACACAGCAATTACTTAGTGAAGGCCAGAGGAATAAGTAGTGTATAACTGTTCCTTGCTGATATGTTTTGAGAAGGAGAATTTTTATAGCAATTCCACGCATGTCAAGTTTCATGGCAGTAATTTCTGGTGCTGTTYGCCTGTGAATAGCTGTTGCCATCTTGGTGAATGATAACTCCTATAATTCATGTCTCCATCTCTTGTCTGTCTGATTCTGTTTCCCTTCAGAAATTGTAGTTGCTCTCCAGCTGTACCCAAAGGCAGGACCAGAGGGAATCTTTCAGGCTTTGTTACAGCTCAGGGCTGGATGTGGCAGCCACACCAAACCCTCTGCATGTGACTTAAAGGTGGCCATGGCCACCCTGAAGGTGCTGGTTGCTAAAACCAGGCGGTAAAACAGCAGCAAAAAATGCAGTGCTGCAGGTCCTGCAGGACTGTGCGTGTGGGCAGTAAGGCAGGGCCTCTGCGAGGGCAGACTGAACTCCCAGCCTGACTTTGGACAAACCACTCAACACTCCTTTAGTCTTGTTTCCATCTGTATTCCCAAAKGTATTGGTTYGCTTACTTCCTTTTCTTCAATGAATATCTGTCAAACTGGGAGTGTTCAAGGCCAGGTTGGATGGAGCTTGAAGCAACCTGGGATAGTGGAAAGTGTCCTTTCCATGGCAGGGGGTGGAATGAGATGGGCTTTGAGGTCCTTTCCAACCCAAACCATTCTGGGACCTGGCAAACAYCCTCAGCTCCTCTTAWGTTTTTTTACTATTTCTTGTATATGTTTCTGTTTACTGTAGGGTCATTATTTTGCCCAATAATGTATTTTATAGACAAAGAACCCCCCACTTTGGTGGAGATGTTCTGTCTGGCCCCAAGAACTAAATGCCCCTTCTGAGCCCTGCTAATGCTTTATTTTTCTGTGTGAGAAGAAAAGCTGTGTTAAACTGGCCCGAGATCAGAGCTCCAGGGAAATGAATTCAGGCCCCTCTGCGCTGAGCCGAGTGGATGCTGAGCTGAGCTGTGGTGTGTCTGCACAGGAGGGATCATAGCAGCAGCTTCCTGAGCTCCAGCTGCTGCGGACAAAGGGCGCCAGAGTTACAGCCGTTCCTGGAGGGAGGAACTTTAAGATGGAGGAATTTAGAAGAATGCAAAGGACAATCTCTTAAAAAATTGTAGGTGGAGCAATTCCAGGTTTTCCTAAGCCTGAGATTTATTCTCCCGCTTTGAGCTAGTTGCCGTTGCAGCGCTTATCTTTTGTGCTTTTTAGCCACAACCACCGTGACCTTTGTGTGATTGCATAAATTGGCCCCGAGTACGTTGGAACGGTTCTTAGGAACCCCTTTCTTGTGCTGTTTCCTGAATTCCCACATTGTGGCGTGATGTGTGTATGGAAACTGCTCGCTTCCTCCGCTGGCAGCCGTTCAGATGAGCGCCGGAGCTCCTGAGCGCTGGCCTGGGCGGGGAGCTGGGTGAAGGGAGGATACAGGGCCAGGGTGTTTCAAGGGAGAGAGTTTGGGTTTCGCAGAGCTTTGTTCTTTTGCAGCCCCGCTCAGGCTGCTGTCTGCATTGTGTGGGTTGGACAGGGAAGAGGCAGCAGAGGAGCCGAGGTGAACGCGCCTCGGGCAGGGCTCGCTGCTCCCCGTGTCTGCGTGAAGCAATAGCTGTGCTTTCCTCATGGCTCTGCCTCCTCTCTTTACTCCCAGATTTTCTTTGAGCATGTGGGAGGGAGACAGGATGTGTGACTGCAGCACAGTTTATAATTCTTTCTAGCTGTGCATTTCCCTTACAGTGCTGCCCCACAGCATCCAGAAATATGGGCTGCWGTAGCTGCTTCTGCTCTGCCTTTTTTTTTTTCCCCTTTGGCGTTTCAAACTGTAAGGTTATGGGATGTTAATKAGCTGTTTACATGTGTTTCTACATTTCTTCCATTAAAACATTCCAATGAATGAATGAATGGYGGTTATGAGGGGAAAAAAATAGATGTTTATAGATGCTGCATTTGGGATTTCTGTAATTCCACTTCCTGAATTTTTGTCCAYGTCTTTCTTTTCAATGTTAAGAGTCAGGAATGTCAGAAAGGATTTATTTTGCTCAAACTGATTAAAAGGTAAGTGGCTGAACGATGCCATCTCTTCTCACATGAAGGCCAAATTTCACAGCTCAGGGATTTGACATGTGCCCAGTTTTTGCATTTCTGGTTCTTTTTGGAAACTGGTGGCATCTTAGGCCCAAACCTTACCAAACTGGGACTCCTTAGCAGGCTTTGTATTTGCATGATCAGACCTTTATGTATGAAATCAGCTTTGGACACACCGTGACAGCTGCATTCAGTTTTTTGTTTTGCTCTTTTTTGCAATTACGAGGTAATGACCAGGAGCCAAGTGGAGCTGTCACTGGGAGATTGTCCTCCTCGGGAGTTCAGGACAGGAGTGACCTCACTGGGGGAGGATTCCAGCGCTCTGTATGCAAAAGCTGGAGGAGGAGATGGATTGTGAGAAAGGCAGGGTACGATTATTTGTACACAAAAAAGTCCCAAGTGAAGGACCAGTTTGTTATCTCTCGGCSTTGTTTAGGCTGAGGATTTGCCTTGATTACAGGGGATGGGCTGAAGAGAAGCTGGTGTTGCTTAGCCCATTTCAGAACAGCAACTTTGCTCTCTGATGCACAGACTGCTTTCACTGCAGAGTTGATCGTGTTACTGCCATCACTAATACTCTGTTAGAGCTTCCAAAGTAAGGCTCCCTAAAGTCTTTTTAGCAACATTTTGGGATCCTTTTACAGGCTTTTGAATGGGGACACATGCACAAAGGTGATGTGTTCATGCTTGGCTGTGAAGGTTGTGGAATGTTTAAAGTTAAACTCTTCTAGGAGTTCAGATTCTGCAGTGTGATTTCAGGCACTAAAGCCTTCAGCTAAACCTCTAAACGTAGCTGCCATATTTTATCATGTGCTAAAATGCTGAAACACAGCAAAATTGGAGTTGTATTTGGGGAGAAGGACTGAAGTGTCTTTAGTCTCGTCTTTGCACACTGACCATTATTTCCAGCTGTGGCAGAGTAGTAGAGATCGGTGTGTATTTCCTACGAGGGTAGCCTGAGCCTTGGACRATCATGTGATGTACATTTTGGTTTTAAGCAGAACACTGCAGTGATGAGAAGAGAGGGGATCTCTTTTATATCCTTCCTATGTGTAGTTAGCATGATCAGTTCTTGCCACACTTTCTTTTATTTTCAGCATTTGGCTGGCATGAAGGGGTGAATCCTGGGCGAGTGTGTGTTGGTATAAACCCATTTCACTCCAGTGGCTTGACAGGTTGGTTTGAATGGGGTTGACTCCTGTGGGTGCTCCCACAGGTGCCCAGGTGGCTTCTCCTACAGAGGAACCAGGGCTGTCCTGGGGGACATCAGGCATAGCATTGCCAGCTGGGTGAGGGAGGGGATGGTCCCGCTGTGCTCTGCACTGGGGTGGCCTCATCTCGAGTGCTGGGGACAGTTTTGGGTACCACAACATAAAAATACCTTAAGTTTTTACAGACTGTCCAAAGGAGGCATGGGGAAGGGTCTGGAGGGAAAGCCTTGTGAGGAGTGGCTGAGGTCACTTGGTTTGTTCAGCCTGGAGAAGAGGAGGCTGGGGGGTAACCTCATTGTGGTCTTCAGCATCCTCCCGAGGGGCAGYGCAGGGGCAGCTCCGATCTCTGTGAGCAGGGACCGGACCCAGGGGATGGCTGGAGCTGTGCCGGGGAGGCTCAGTTGGGTATTTGGGAAAGGTTCTTCTGTCCCCAGAGGGTGCTGGGCACTGTCCAGCTCCCCAGGGAATGGTCCCGGCCCCGAGGCT